GGGCCCTAGTGGACTGAACTTAGTTGTAAGCAAAAGGCACAGAAAACCACTTAATGTGTTTCATTCAACACAGGACCAGAGAGCAGGCAAGAGGGACACAGTGGCTTTAGGAGAGGAGAGGGGAATGGAAAATGCCCGGCACACACATGTTCTCTCTTGTGACCTGCTTCTTCAAGTTGTGGAGTGTCATTCATGTCAAGGCAGTTACTTCAATGGCCGTCCATTCATTTGCACTGCTTCTGGTTTTTAGTGCTTTCTTTCACTGTATGAAAAGATCACAGCTTATATATCCATTTTCCTCATGGTGGATAGCTTCCAGTGTTTTGTTATTTTGATATTTCCATTTTTGTTGATGTTTTCAATGTTATGCACAAAAATTTCCTTTGGAGACTGTACTTAGAGAATTACTGTACTGACACAAAGGGTTATGGACCTTCAAACTGACCAGTGGCACCAAGTTGGTTTTCAAAGTAGTTGCATTATCACTTCTAACCTGGAATATGTGAGTCCCTTGTTGACAATCAGCATTTTCAAACTTTAAGAGTTTTGTCCATCTGGTGAGTGTAGAGTGGGATCTCACTGTGGTTTTGATTTGCTTTTCCCTAATTACCAGTGTGGTCAAGCATGTTCTCATATACTATTTGTCATTATGTGACTCTGTCGTGAAATACCCAGTCAGGTTTTATTTGCCCCTGTCTCTTCCGTTGTGTTGCTATTTTTCTTATTAATTTTGATCTGAAATGAGTTCTGTGTTAGCTATATCTTTCCTCATTTTGCAGATACTAAAAATGTATCCATACATACTTTTTAAAGTTCTTAATTTTAATGGAATAAAAATCATCAATCTTTTTATATTCCCCCCACTCCATATTTCCCTCTTGTATAATCTCTTTTTTAGCTTATGATTTTTAAAAAAGTGTTCAAGGTATACTGAAGTCATGTATGGAATTATCACAATGAGAAAATAACATAAAAATTCAAAAAGTGGCTGAATATATATAACACAAAATTTCGCACGTTAACCATTCTAAGTTTGATGGCATTAAGTTCAAATTATCATGCTGCCATCACTGCTATCCATCTCCATAACTGTTTGTTGTTTCCCCTTAATATATTTTTTCTTTCTTCCTTCTTTCTTTCTTTCTTTCTTTCTTTCTTTCTTTCTTTCTTTCTTTCTTTCTTTCTTTCTTTCTTTTCTTTCTTTCTTTCTTTCTTCTTTTTTTGTTGAGATGGGTCTTGCCATGTTGCCTAGGCTGGCTTTCAGTTCCTGGGCTCAAACCATTCCCCTACTTCAATCTCCTGTGTAGCTGAGACTCTGAGTATGCCATGTGCCCGGCTCTTCTTTTGATGTCTTGTTTAAGTAATTCTTTGCTACATAAAGAACATAAAAACCATGCAAATATTTGTTCTAAAGTCTTATTTTTTGATTTTCTGAAGTAAGTCTTTAACTGTCTGGAGGTGATTTTTTTGTGTAGTGGATGATAGAGAATAAAGTCCCCCCAATAGATAGCAGCATCATTTCGAATTATCCATCTTTTCACCACCACAGCGGATCCATCACACTCCAGGCTTCTTTATAGGCGTGGGACCACTTGTGGCTTCTCTGTTCTTTTGCACTGATTTATTGATCCTTGTTCCAGTATCATAGCATCTTAGATATTATGGGATTATAATAAGGCTTTCATTGACCTAAAATGCTTTCTTCCAAAGACATACAGGACTGAATCTCCAGTTTTCTTTGGCTCTGCTTCATGGTCACATTCCTAGCCAGTTCCTTCTAAAATCTCAATGCTTCCTCCAAAAACTTTACATCCTTCCTGTCTTTTGAGTTTTTAGTCTAGCAGTTACGTGAGTTATCATCTTACAGTGATGTGTATATTACTTAGCTTATTCTCTTTTCCTCTAGAGTATAAGGGTTTTGAACATTTGGCTTTCATCACTCTTGCGTCCCCAGAAAACATTGTCTGGCACGTAATATGTACTCAAGTGGTATTTCTGGATCTAGTCACATATTGTTGGTGTTTGGAAGGCTGCTCCTTCCCTGAGGACCTTTGAAGAGAAGGCTTCCTCTGAAGCTCTCTTGTTCTTTGCTGATAAACTAATGAAAGTTGTCAAAGTACAGAAAGAATGAGACAGTTGCTTTAGGTTTCTTTCTTAGCCAACTCCCAGAGGTGGGCTGTGGAGTGGGGAGGGTGGAGGGAATGGAGGTTGGCCAGTTTGCCTTGACTTTTATGGGTCAGCCAACCTGCTGGAAAAGCTTCCTGTCCTCTGCTTTCCATGGCAATGCTCACTTAGTGAAGAAACTCACCACACCCTTGGTTTTTAGGACAGAACACCCTGCCCAGGGGAAGAAAGAACAGGCACTTTTATATACTAAGCATGGCAACTAAAATCCCAACTGTGTGACACACATAGGACACAAGTCCTACAGCTGTGGAGGCATCTCAGGGTCAGTTCTATCGGGAGCAGACCGTCTGCAGCTGATACTGTCCAGGGCAGGCTCTGAATTGAGCAGTGATGGCTCATGGAAATGCTGCCAGAAAAGGTACTCTGTGCTTTATTACAGGATAAACGGGGGAGCCAAGTCATTCTGGAAAGAATGTGTATGAAGTTTTCAGATGAGGACTTGACGTTTTTTAGGTTGGAGTCACATTTGATTCAAACCATCTGTTTAATGTGAAGCTGAACCCAGCACTCTTTTCATACTCACAGTATTCATCAATCCTTTTCCATAAATACTTGTTAAAGGTCCTTAAACAGGGGTCACAAAATGACACAATCAGCCCTGTTTTTGGGATGCTTTGGTTCAGTGAAAGTAAAATTGTGTTTATGTGTGTTTCCTTCCTCTTGGTTGTGAGGTCAGTGCCTATAATTTATAAGGATCTTGGTTGCCAGAACTGAGCATTGTGTCAACCTGTTTTTATTGATCAAATTAACATACGGAAGAGCTAACAGCAATTTACTGCAAATGGTGCTGAAATGTGTAACTATTGTGCATTGCTGCTGCTGTGACATGTAGGTCCATCTTCACAGTGAGGTAGAAAAAATCATATAATTCTGGAATAGCTGAGAGGTACAGGCTGTTTTGTTACCTGAGATTTAAGATGGACTTTTAATATGCTATAAAAGCAGCTTTTACGTGACATTCCAACATTTTGGTAATGTTAAATATGAATGTATTTTTCCAAATTTTCTGAGTTGGTCATAAAAATGTCATCTGTTAGTTCGAAAGATATTGTAGAAGGTACTTTAGGAGTCACAGAGGCAAAGCCTTGTCCAAAAAGCTTAAAATCAAGTAGTGGCTGGAGGTGTGGCTCAAGAGAGGTAGAGCGCCTGCCTAGCAAGTGTGAGGCCATGAGTTCAAATCCCAATACAGCCAAAAAATAAAACGAAAAAAAGATCAAGTCGTGCTGGTCTTCCTAACTGACTGCGCAGGATGCTCACACGAGCCTTCGAGACACTGCCTAAAACTGGTCGCAGGTGCTTTTATTTGAGAAGATAACCGATGAAACTCTTCAGTGTTCATGTTCTCAAAAGATTAAGACCCTCTGTACTCAACTAGAGGAAAAAGAAAAAAAAAAAAAGACACCTTTCATGACTGCAAGGTAATTCTGTGAATATTTTACACGCACAATTTCACGCTTTTTCATCAAATCTGAAGACTTTTTTTCCTCTTTGTGATTTCATTTCTATTCCTTATGCACAGGCCAGGCTTCTCTGCAGAAGTCCTAGTTCTAAGGCAGTGCACACGTTTTTGGGTGTCTTCTTTGGACCAGGCGATGTCAACTCGGTGTGACACAGGGAGGGAGTAAGGTGTCACCTTGGCGGAATAAGGTGGCGCCTGGAACCGGGACAGGGTCTCCAGTGTGCAACCGTGCCTGTCACTTACCACCCGGCCTGCTGTCACCTGTAACACGGGGCTGATACAACCAATCTCAGTGGTTCTGAGAACCTCTGAGGACGTGTGCTGGCACAAAGGACAGCCACAGCCTCGTCCACGTCGGTGGCTCTGTGACGCCTGACATTGTTTCAGAGCATCGTCTGCAAGGACCGCCTTCGTGCAGGCGGCGCGCCAGCCAGCGCCAGGCGGCGGTGAGCTCACGTGCAGCACCCAGGCAGGTAGCGCCCCCCAGCGGCCTTGGTGCAGCTCCGCACACGGGCAGGAAGCGCCCCCCAGCGGCCGCGGTGCAGCTCCGCACCCGGGCAGGAAGCGCCCCCCAGCGGCCGCGGTGCAGCTCCGCACCCGGGCAGGAAGCGCCCCCCAGCGGCCGCGGTGCAGCTCCGCACCCGGGCAGGTAGCGCCCCCCAGCGGCCGCGGTGCAGCTCCGCACCCGGCAGGAAGCGCCCCCAGCGGCCGCGGTGCAGCTCCGCACCCGGGCAGGAAGCGCCCCCCAGCGGCCGCGGTGCAGCTCCGCACCCGGGCAGGTAGCGCCCCCCAGCGGCCGCGGTGCAGCTCCGCACCCGGGCAGGTAGCGCCCCCCAGCGGCCGCGGTGCAGCTCCGCACCCGGGCGGGAAGCGGCGGTGCGCGCGCCCCTGTCTAATGGAACAACGACGGGGACCTCGCACGCTGACGGGCTTTGCAAAGCGCAGCCCGACGGCCTGCTGAGGGGTTGCTGGGAGTTTAAAGAGGGCAAAGCGCCCCCGAGAGTGAGCCAGGAGCGTTTTCGCGCGCCGTCCCAAGATGGAAAGCGCCACATTTCCCTCACCGGGTCGGCTCGTCCTTACTGTCCCCAGACTAAGTTACAGGGACTCAGTGATCAGTATGGAAAATTTTGCCGCTAGCAACCTAGTTTCAACGGTGAAAAGCATAGGACACACACGGGAGGGACATCTTGCGATTTGGACCCCCGCAACAGCCCCACACACCCAGTTTCAGAAAAATTCACGCGGCGAAAGGCGTGGAAACCCGGGATCCAGAGGCGCCGCATCGCGCACGCGCAGGCCCGCGGGTGGGCGCGCCGGTCGGTCACGTCACTTCCGCTTCCGGCCCCAAATGAAATCTCCCGCCGCTGGGGCCGGGCGGCTGTCAGCGCTGGTTCGTTTTCGCGTTCGGGGGCTTGCAGGTGAAAGGGGCGGCGGATTGGGTTAGGACGGAGGGCAGTCCTGGCGGCCGAGCTCGCGAGGCCGTGCGAGGCACTTGCGTTTCTGTCAGGGGGCGGCCTGGCGGGCGGGGGCCGGGTTGCTTGTTTGGGACCGAGATGCGGTGCCGGAAGACTTGGGGGGTGAGAGGGAGCTGTCGTAAGGCGCTGGCGGATGCTTCCTGAAAGGAGATCCGCAGGGCTGCGTCCACGAGACAGTTGTCCTCTTTCCCAGAATCACAGATAGGAAGTCTCTCACCTAGGCGGGACCCCCTTTCCTGCGATTTGGGACTGCGGCCCATGTAAAACCGCATCCTGTCTTGGATGGAAGGGCGGCGATGCCCCACGTCCCCTGGCTGGCATGCCGCGCCAAGTTGGGACCACACCTGCATCTTCCTAGCTCCTCTCCTCTTAAAACGCCACAGGTGTATTTAGAAGACTGGAAGTACAGGACGACACCCAGATGGAGTCACTTTTAACAGTCTGTGCACGTGAATCATTTTTCTGTGTGTTTTTTTTTTTTTTGTCTGTTGTTCTCAACTCCATCATTTTAACATTTTTGCGGGCTCCCGTGCGAAGGTGACCAGGATGCAGTTTTCCGGAGGAATGCGTAGGAAGCTGAGGTTGGCAGGTGACCAGAAGAGCGCTTGTTACCCTCACAGCCTTCAGTTCTACTTGCAGCCGCCTTCTGAGAACATATCTCTGATAGAGTTTGAAAGCTTGGCTATTGACAGACTTAAATGTAAGTGATACTTAAGTTAGAATGTATATCGTTTTGAAAAGCACCACTGTTAATTTGTGGGAGTGAAGGAAGACGGGTTATCGCCTTCATTCAGCAGTCAATTCAAATATTTGTTGAGGATTTGCTGTTGAGGATTTGTTATTTATTGCAAAGTGCATATTTATTGAGCACTGCTATATTCTAGTTGGCGGGGAGTTTGAGATGAATAGTGTAAGTCCTATCTTTCTTGAAGTTGTAGGCTAGCATATAAAGAAAGACATCTGGAATAATCATAACTCAGTTTGAACTAGTCAGCACTAGTGCTATTGAATCAATGGGAGTAACTTAGTCTAATTAAGAAAGCCTTCTTAGAGAAGTTGAAATCTGATCTGGACCTTGAGAGAAAATTTCCAATACAGAAGTAATGAAGGGTTTTCCAAGGATGGAGGTGTGAGAGAGAATGCTGTGTTTGAGGGGACAGTGACAAGTTCAGTGTGACTGGAGAAGGCTGCGTAACTAAGACATGTGCCATGCTGATGGCACAGAATTGGAGTGAAAGAAGGATTTCGCTGCTGTGCTGGTGGCCTGCTTATCCTTCGTGTGTTGATGAAGAAAGGAGTGAACTTGACACGAACTGAAACAAACACTAGGACTATTTTCAGAGTTATCCAGGATACCCTGTGGGATCAGAAGGAGAAGTGAGGTACTGTTGTTCTTTCTCAGGGGAGCAGGTAGGAATTGCTAATACAGAGAGGAGGTACTCATTACCTGTTTGTTGCAACGGAAGAGTGAAGGCAAGGGAGAAGGAAATAGTGACAGCTTAGTCATATCAGCTGCTTCATAGGATTAAGTTGATGGTGGAAAGGTCCCTTGGCTTTGGGACTTTAGGGGTGAAATGGCAAGGTCCTGAACTAAGGTAGTGACATTGGCAGTGACAGGAAGAGAGAGACTGAAGGGATACTAAGGAGACATTGTTGGTAGGATCGTGAGGAGGGAGGGAGCAGGTGCAGGATGGATGAAGTTTCTGCTCAGATGATCTAGTGGGTGGAAAACCTGCTAATGGATGTGGAGGTGACAGGAAGAGGAACAGGAGAAAGGGAAGATAATAGGTTTGACTACCATAGTAAGGAGGTACTTCTGGAACATGGGTTTACGTTTAGGAGGCAGTTTAGAAGATTTTCATCTGAGGAAGGGTTGATAAGTGACTTTAGGGATCTCTGAGCAGTTCTCAGACCTTTTCAGGATGGTTCATGTGGATGACATGGCTCTGCTTCTTCAGTGTTGTCTTCTCTGCTTTATCAGGAAAGGAAGGCATGTGTTTCTATGAAGAGACTGCGCTGAGTAATTGAAGCAAACTGCCAGATAGGCTTCTCCATAAAGCGCCCAAACAAGGGGTGCTTAATTGTTTTGTTTTTTTTTTTTAAATCATACTGACTTTTCCATTCCTCAACAACACTGCTCAGTACAGCTGAGATTATGGCATTGTCTACCATCCTTTCCTGTTCTCTGCTTGAGAATCCCCGGTGTGGGGCATGAATATTTTCTGCACGTAGATGGAGATTATCCTCTTATAAAAATACATAGTTCATGTAACATACTGCAGAAAACTGTTACTAATTGTTCTAATTACTTGTTTTTATATTAATAGTAATTAGGGAATTGCTATCCATAGATTTTTGTCTTGGATTTGGTTTTTTATACTTGTATTTTCACTTTTTTTTTCCTTAGTGCTAAAAACAGTTGAAAATCTTGGTGTGAGCTATGTGAAAGGGACGGAGCAATACCAGAGTAAGTTGGAGAATGAGATTCGAAGACTCAAGTTTTCCTTCAGAGTAAGTAAAAGAGGAAAGTTCCTTCAGTTTGTACGTGCTCACATTAGTGAGTGCAGGTAGGGAAAGGTCTTGAATCAGGCACGGGCTTTCATGAAGAACAATGTCTGAACTGTGAAGGTGTCTGAATTCAGCCTTTTGGGGTGATTGACATGTGGTTAGATGATTTTGACATGGCAGGGTTTCTTCACTCTCAGGACTGCTGTACATTGTAGGATGCTCAATAGCACTCCATCTTTCACCCGCTGAATGACTCCAGATGTACCCTGTGTATTATGGGGTGCTGAGCACTGCTATTACATGTGAACTCCAAGAGCAGTTGTGGTTAGCAGTTCAGGTTGGGGATAGTAGGGAAGGTTTTCCAGAGGAGGTCATCCTGAACTGTACCTATATGTATATATATATATATATTTTTTGAGTCAGAGTCCAAGTTGGTCTTGAACTCAGAATCCTTCTGCCTCAGCCTCCTGAGAGCTGGGTTGACAGGCATGTGCCACCGTTTCTGGCTTGGAGCTTCATCATGACAGATGTGACCAGATTTTTATTCTGGGAGGATGATAGCCAACAGCAGATTGGAAGTCATGTCTGACAAGAGGAAAAACAGCTTGGAAATGGTGAGAGTCTGAATGAATGAGAAGGGGACTGAGCAAGAATGTATTAAGAAGGTAGAATCAAAAGATTTTAGTGATTTAATTACAAGGGAACAACAGAGAGAGAAGTTATGAATGACACCAGGTTTCTAGTTAGGACAGTTGAGATGTGGTATGCTGGAGGAAAAGAAAATCTTGGGACTAAGATGTTGAATTTCATTTTAGACATAACTTGAGGCACTTCATGGATAATTGGATGTAAAAGTGTGGACTTTGAAGGCATCTTTAGTGGGACTGTAGATTTAGGGGAAGTTGGTCTTGAACTCAGAATCCTCCTGCCTTAGCCTCCGGAGAGCTGAGGACACCCTAGGAACATAATGTGATGGAGGATAGGAAGTAAGGAATACTAATATTTAAGAGGTCTGGGAAGGAGATAGAGATGGAGCTTCCTGAGAATTAGGAGATGAGCCTGGATGGTGGCAGCATAGAAGTCAAAGAAGGATAGAGTTTCAGTAATAGTTGCTATATTTGTAATGATAATTTAGGATAACAGCAGCAGACTTTTGTATTACAGTTATTACATGCCAATTTTGTTCTAAGTGCATCGCATATTTTAATCCATGCAAGTCAAGTAACAGTGTTATGAGGTAGATGCTATTATCATCCCTGTTTCGTAGATAGGAGACTGTGTTACTTACTGATAGACTAAGTCACTTGCTCAAGCTTGTAAGGTGGTAAGTAGTGGAGGCAAGATTGAAATCCAGGCATTTTGTTTCTGTGGTTACACTCTCAACTCCCAATAGTTTCAGAAGCTTAAGTCAGATCATGAAAGATGGGTTGTACTGTGTCCTTTGGGTTTAGCAGCTGGATGGGCCTGGTAGAGAGGGACAGAGGCCAGAACAATGATAGGGAGTGGATGAAGGACAGAGGTGGGTTTGGGACATATACTGTTCTTAGAAGTTTAGCTAAAATAATGGGAGAAATAGAGCAGAATATGGAAGATGTTTTAGGGAAAAGACGTGTGTGTGTGTGTGTGTGTGTGTGTGTGTGTACATACATAATGGCAGGAGATGCTTAAATACGATTATAAGCTAAGCAGGAAGATCTATAATATTAGAGAGGGGAGCTTAAAGATATTTTGAGAGAGCATTAGATATACTCGGGTCCTTCAGAGGAAAGAATAAATGAGTTGGAGGGTTTAGATGTAGGAATTAGCTTTATGTACAAAGGAGAGGTTCTTTGTCCATGAAGATGGAAGGGAAGGCAATACACCATGTGGATGCTGGAGCTGAAGGATCTGCCTGGTGGACCTTATTTTCTGTAAAGTAGGTGAAGTCATCTGTTGAGAAAGAAAGGAAGGATGCCAGGGTAGGGTAATTGGTGAAGACTGAAACACTTTTTCTAAGAAGTGAGGAGGGTGGCAAATGTGTGACATTGAATCTCTGCTGCCTGCTCTCTGTGCTGTTGTTTGGATTTGGAATATCCGCTGTACCCATGTGTTAAAGACTTGATTCTTGGCTTAGTGCTTTTGGAAGGGAGTAGAACCTTTAAGCAGCGGGGCCTAGGAGGGGTTTTTGGTTTTTGGGAGCATCCCTTTTGTGGATTGTGGGAGCCTGGTCTCTTCCACTGTGAGGTGAGCAGCTTTGCTCTGGTATGTGCTTCCCACCATGATCTTTCTGCTTTGCCACAGACCCTAAAGCAGTGTGTCAACCAACCTTAGAATGAACCTCTGAAACTGTGAACCAGAAATGAATCTTTACTCCTTAAAATGATTATCTCAGGTATTTATAGTAACAGAAAGCTGACTAACACTTTGTGACTCTAGACAAATTAGTTGACCTCTCAGAGCCTTGTTTCCTCATTCTGAAAATGTATAGTGCTTCCTGGGTAATAGGATTTAAAAAAAAAAGTATTAAATAAGTCTGTAAGTGAAAAATGCTTAGAGCAGTGGCTGGTGGGTGCCTTGTAAGTGCCGGAGACATGTTCACATCTTGCCATTTTGGACTTAGTAAGGATTCATTGGTATTGGTAAGGGTCCACTTAAGGTTACAGGCTGTGAATTTTTATGTTCCAAGTTCACATAGTTGTGTATGTTTTTCTCCAGAAGTTCTCAGCATTTTGAGAATAGGACTACAGCGTGTAGCTGTAGATTAATTTAGAATCTAGGCTTTGTCAAATAGCTGGAGTTAAAGAAGTAAGGGTTGATGTAAGAAGTAGCAAGTACTCCGGACATAGGTGGATGAGAAAGTAAGTTAAAGAGAGGGCCTAACAGGAAGAAATAGTTGGGTCTATGTCCAGGAGCTTTTGATGAGGTCAGTTCAGTTCAGTTCTCAGTTCACCTGATTGTAGTTTATGTACTGTGATAGTTATCCTGAAAAGCTCATTAAGAAAGGTAGTGGTGTTGAAAGTCACTTACCATTGTGTTATGCTCACTCAACATTTCTCTGTACTGCGTTTTATTCAAATGCTAGTCTAATCCTTTCATATCCTTGTGCCATTATTTTTAAGGAAAACTTAGAAGATGAATATGAACCACGAAGAAAAGATCATATTTCCCATTTTATACTTCGCCTTGCTTACTGTCAGTCGTGAGTATATAGCTGAGCTCTCACAGTCACATTTGATGTCTTGGGTTATAAGTTGGTATGTTGGAAGTTGACGTCTTGATGTGAACTTGTATTGAAATCAGAATGCCATCAGGAACCAGTGTATCCTGGATTGAATGTTGTTACAGTGAACTGTTTGAAGCAAATTGTTTTACTAAAAAAATACTGAAAAAAATTTATTGTAAAATTTGCCTGATGAGACACTTTTTAGCTTTATGGAAGAGACTCTTCATTTGGGATTTAAAATTAGAAGGGTTTTTATAGGTAGAAGGTCTTGATACTTTTCTGGAAAAAAAGTGGTTTCTTATTAGAAACAAGGAATCACACACATACTTGAATTTGATACAAGTCTTTAGAATTCGAGGTGTGTGGGCCTGTTAGATTTTAGATGGTATCAGCTGGTCATTGGTTTCTTAAGACAATAGTGTCACCCACAGGGAGAAGGACTTAGTTTTTCAAAATTCATTTTTTTTCCTTCCCCTTATATAATTATATGGCCAAATAAAATAGTTACTTTTTTTTAATTAGTGGCCTTATCAAGTGAGAATCTTGAATTGCTTACTTTTCAATTGAGAAATTACTTAACTTTTGTCCTTGAGTTTTTCCTCATTTAAAAGATCTGTAGTTTCTGACCCATATACAGTAAATGAATTTCTGACAATCTGTGAAAGTCATCTGAAAATGACATAATATTACATGCAATAGGCTAATTGTTTTGTAACAGTAATGCAATCATGTATCTGCCTTGTAGATAGATGTATTTTCAAGTTGGCTTTGAAATGTAGACGTGTACTTGTGGATCTTACATTTTGTGAAATTACAAACTATAACTTTGCAGAGTTTACTGATCTTAATCCATTTAGAGATAAAGTTCCCTTTAAAGCTTTTGTTAGTTGGCATTGATGAAATACTTTAGACCAAGGAGCACCCCACTTTAATGTAAATGACTCTTTGCAGTCACATTAGACCTAGTGGACTTTTAAAATGATGTCACTGGTAATTCAGTGGTAGATGGGCTCAAAGTATTCTGTATTTAATCTTTTGTGTTCATAACACCCTCAACCTCAAACCCAGCATGATCCTGGAGGACTGTGGTATTCCTCTTCTTACCACAGTATAGGACTTGTTTGCTTTTAATTGCTGTCTTTTGGTATCCTGCTTGTTTTACTGTTTCATAGAAATTTCTTGAATTTAATGATCACTGGGTTTTAAATTTATACTATAATTTCCTGTCCTCATTTTAGTGAAGATCTTAGACGATGGTTCATTCAACAAGAGATGGATCTCCTTCGATTTCGATTCAGTATTTTACCCAAGGACAAAATTCAAAATTTCTTAAAGGACAGCCATTTGCAATTTGAGGCTGTAAGTATATTTTTGTAATTATTTCTAATTATTTCACATTTATCTCTGCTTTTTACTGGCACTAATGTGTGGAGTTCATTCTCTTTATATACTCTTAAGTACCTGCCTGAAAAAGTAGCTAATAGCTTTGTGTATGAGTGGTATTTATTTATTGCAGTAGTGAAGTTTGGAGGAGGGAGTACTTTACTTTAAAAAGTCAGTCATCAGTAAAATCTGTCTGCTTGAGTAGTTTTAAAAACTAGAAAAATAGTTTTTGCAGGCACATCTGAATGGTTTACATAATATGATTATAATAAAAAAGAAGAGATGCCTGGGGCATTTAGCAGGTATAAGATTGTGGGTGGAGATGTAATTCCTGTTGTAGTGGTCTGTGCTGTGTGGGAAGGTGGAAAGTCCTTCTTGGAAGATCTGGAGCAATCAGGCGGTAGGGGTAGGAGGACTATTTGGGACTCTCGATTGGAGCTGGATTGGGAGGCTTGAGGCCAAATAGAATAAAGAGTAACAGCTGGAGTAGGTGAAAGACATTCATCCTGTCTGAAGATATTCATTCCTGTCTGAAGATATTCATTCCTGTAGCAAGGAACATTGTGGACTGTGAGCTGGCGAAAGGCTGTGTGAAGGGGAGGGAACAGGTATTTGGTAGACAGTACTTCCTGCAGCTCTCACTTGTTGTAGGTACGTCTCTCGAGGTTCTTAAGTGGCATCTGCCTAAGCACAGATAGTGCCGTGTGCTGGCCGTCTCACCCAGCCCCTGTGCCTTCCACTTTCTGTTACTTTTGACCCTTGGGGAGGCCTGTTACTGCAGTTCCAGTGCAGGTGATTTATCCTTTCATATTAGACATGGTTTTACTGAGGGCTGCACACTTGCTAGGCAGCCACTTTACCATGTCAGTCATGCTACCTGTCCTGTGTGCTTTTTTTTGGCCTGGGGCTGGCCTCAGATCACAATCCTCCTTCCTACAGTCTCCCAAGTAGCTGGGATGGTAGGCATATACCACCATATGGGACAGGTACTGATTGAGATGGGGGTCTCACTAACTTTTTCCTTGGGTTGGTCCTAACTCCCCAGTCTTCCTTTCTTCTCCTGATTCTTCATCCCAAATCGGGATGGGAACATAGTAGGCCCTTTAAACATGTGACTTCTTCCATTTAGGAAATTTCTTTTTATTGCTTTGATGATTCTGTTTTGTTTTCTATGGCTTCTTCTTAAAATCTCTTTTGTTAGTTGGAATTTGGGTCTTTTGGATTGGTCCTCTCATTTTCTGTCCCGACATCCAGTCTTTATTTTTTGGGGGGGATTTCTTTAACTGTTTCCCACATTTTCTACATTTTTTTTTGTATGTCCTGCCTTTAATTTCTTTTTTTTTCTTTTTTGTGCTACTGAGGTTTGAACTCGGGGCTTTATGCAGGTGCACTACCATTTTGAGCCTTACCTCTAGCCTGTTTTGTTCTGGTTACTTTTGAGATAGGGTCTCATTTTTTGTCCATGCTGGCCTGGACTGTGATCATTCTATTTTGTGCTTCTTGCTGTCACTGCATAAAAGGAGTGCACCACCATGCCCACCCTTTTTCTGTTGAGATGGAGTCTTGCTAACTTTTTGCCTGGGCTGACCTTGAACTCTGATCCTCAGCCTCCCAAATAGCCAGTTCATTAGCTACAATTATTTATGGATTTATATTATGTTTCACTCTGTAGGTCATTTGAGGTGCATTACAATAAGCATACACATTAAAGTAACATGCAGTGATATGGATAAAATTGAAAGATTGACTAAAAGGAAAATTAATACCCATGTTTGTACATCCCAGATGGTCTTGTACAATTTCTATAGGCAACAATAACGTTGGCTTCTTGCATGACTGTTTTTTTTTTTTTTTTTTCTTCTTCGTGACTCCCAGTGGGGATAGGATGGGGAGGTATTCCTCTTGGGGCACATTGGAACGTGACTGGAGGTGTGTAGACTGTGGGAAACCTCATGCCTTACGTTTTTGAAATACAGACTGTAGAATGTAAAGCTTGGTTAAATGTTAGTAGTGGCTGGTGGGGATTTATGGAAGGCAAAGTGAGACAATAACAGGCATTAGCGATGCTTTTAGACTCAGGACAAAGCAGGGTTGGGGAAAGTTATTAGCATTTGTCTCTGATATGTGTCTTGCTGCCTAAATCCAGGCAGAAAGAAAGGGTAGCAGGTGGGGAGCCACAGGTCCATCTTGTTTTCATGTCACAGAAGCTGGATTCCTGGCACAGGTCTGAGTCTACTTGGACTTAAAATGCTTTTGTGCTGAGTTTGTATGCATTTGTTTTTTCAATTTCCTAATGCTACAATGACTTTTATATTCATTTCTTCTGTAAAATGAACATAGTGTATATTCAGAGGAGATACAATAATAAGAATTGCATTGTATGTGCTCTGATGGGGAAATATGTACAAAAAGGATCATCAATTTCTTTGCATGGATTTTTCTTTTAAATCTTGTTTTCTTATTACATGGCTAGTGACTTTTATTGGATAAAAATTTGCAAAAGGTGTAGCTGGGCACTGGTGCCTTATGCCTATAATCCTAGTTACCCAGGAGGTAGAGAGCAGAAGGATTGAGGTTTGAAGCCAGTCCTGGCAAATAGTTTGTGAGAACCTATCTTAAAAATACCCAGCCAAAAAGGGGCTGGCAGAGTGGCTGAAGTAGTAGAGTGTTTGTCTAGCAAATGTGAGGCCATGAGTTCATACCTCAGTACCACCAAAAGCAAAAGGTGAACCAGGCTAGTTATCATATCTAAAACTCTGTGTTCTGTTTCTGACTCAGGCAATTTGTTGATTCTTTGGGTTTTTTTAGTTTAAACTTGAGCTTCTGAGGGAGAGAACATTCTTACTCTTTATGATGTAGAACATAAAATACACCAAAAAGGAAAAACTGATCTTTCCTATTCTTTGGGTTACATGTAAGTAACTTGGATTTTAAATGTAAAATTTCCAGGAAAGATTAGAAACAAGTGAGCACTGCTCTGTGTGGGGACTACATGCTGTCTCCTGGCTGCCTTGGTTGGCTTTGTTGAGGTTGAATAGGTGCGTGGGTGCCCTTAAATAGGTTCTGTTAATGCTTCTGCAGTGGGCCACTTGGGGAAACATCAGGTCTTTGCAGTTGTCCGCTTCATAGACAAAGTGTTTCTGTGCTGTTGCCCTCTAGAATCTGACATCAGTTTATAGTTGGATGCTTTTTAAAGTGTCCATAGGATATTTCACTTGACAAGCCAGTAGATCTAGTAGTAGGATTCTTTCATTAGACTAGTACTGAATGGCAGATGGCAGGAATAGTAAAGATGTGGTGAGTATTCTGTGTGTTACAAATGGAGACTGTACTGTATAAAAAAAGTATTAGTGCTCAAGGAAGTGAGAGTTTGCAAGTAAGGTTGGTAGCCTCATTGCTTGACTCACTAAAAACAAGTACATAGAATTGTTTATTTTTGCTTATTTTAAAATATATATATTTTTTGTTCTAAACTTGGCATTTAAGATTTTTTGTCCCTTGTAGTGTGAAACCTTCTATTTTTTTTTTAGCAGTATTGTGGGTTGAATTTAGGGCACCGTGCTTGCTCTGCCACTTGAACCATACCACCAGCCCTTTGAGTGTTGGTTAATTTTGAGACAGGGTCTTGTTTTGTGGCTGTACCAGCACGGACCTCCATCTTCCTCTATCTGTGTTTCCTTGCATATCTGGGGTGACAGGCATGCACTACTGTGCCATTTGTAGAGATGAGATAGATCTCTCAAACTTTTTTCTTCTGTTTTTTTTGCTGGGACTGTCAAACCACAATCCTCCCAATCTCTACTTTCCAAGTAGCTAGGATTACAGGGCAATGTTTTTTTCTAGAAAATATTTAATATCATTCTTGGCTCATGTTATTGAAATGATCGATTATGAATTTATTAGGCACTTTTGTAAAGTTCTCCAGTTAACATTGGAACACTGATTTGATTTTTACATGTGTGGAATTTTAAAGTGGTTTTGGTATTTACTTGCTTATTATTTCTTAGATATTTATAAGTTGTTCTTGAGATAGTCTTTTTTTTTTTTTTTTTACTATTTTGACCCTTACTATATTGTTTTCATTGTTAATTGATGTATTTTGGGTTATTGTAGCCCTTTTGGAATGTGTATTCCTCACTGTGGTGTGGTCCATTTTTGTTTATTAAGATATGCAGTGTCCCTCACAGGACTCTTTTTTTTGGTGGTACTAGGCCTAGTACTTGCTAGGCAAGTGCTCTACTAATTGGGCCACACCCCCCAGTCCTTTTATTTTGCTTCAGATAGGGGCTTGCTTTTTCATGATTCCCCTACCTATGGCCTCCCTTCTACCTGGTATGACAGGCTTATACCACCACACCTGGCTTATTGTGTTGAGATGGGGTCTCACTAACTTTTAACCAGATTGGCCTCGAATTGTGGTCCTCTCAATCTCTACCTCCTGAGTAGCTGGGATTGCAGGGGTGAGACATCACACCTGGAGTGATCTGCCTTTGTGGGGAGGTCTCAAGTTATAATAAACCTTTTAATAAGTTGTCAAGTGATTTTTATGTGGTGCCTGCAGAATGGAGAGATACGTGTACCTTTTATATCTTTTGATACAGCATATTTCTGCCAGTTAGGAATCTGATGATATATTTGAGGCAGGGCACTCAGATGTAAGAGAAGACAGTAGAGAACACATGCATTGATAAGCCTAAAAGCTCTTTACAAAACTTCTGACAAGGTATAGAAATGGATACTCTTGGTGGAAATTCCAGACCTAAAAGGAACTGAGGGGAAAGGATTAATAATCAGATGAAGGTGTTAGAGAAAACAAGTCATTCAAGGCACTTGTTAAAGACACTAGGGAAGACTTTATTTAAGGGGAGGCTGCTCCAGTAGATTTTGTAGTAGGGGAAAGAGATGAGCTCAACACTGAACACAATAAAAGTGAGATTAATAGCCAAGGAGCAGGGTGCAGGTGTAGGTGGAGGGAA